GCTCGGCTGCTGTGGGGCGGGGCCCAAACCCTAAACCCTAAACCCTAAACCCTAAACCCTAAACCCTAGACTCTAAACCCTAAATACTAAACCCTGGAGTATAAATATAAAAATAAAAAAGAATATAATTCTTTTATTTTCCTGTCTTCAAAATGAAGATATTTTATTACTTTGCTGCATAACCCTAAACCCTAAAGCCTAAACCCTAAACCCTAAACCCTAAACCCTAAACCCTAAACCCTAGGTCTCCGATTGCTGCATATCTTCGAGTTTAGTTCAGAGGCCCCGGGCCCCCCACCAATAAATTAATTATTTTATTTTTGTATATTTCTGCTGCTGAAGCAAACACAGCGGAAGACACCGCAGCAGCAGAAGCAGCAGCAGGCAGCAGCAGTAGCAGCAGCAGCAGCAGTAGCAGTAGGAACAGCAGCAGCAACAGCAGCAGCAGCAGCAGCAGCAGTAGCAGTAGCCTATAGTTGAGTCTATCAGCTCGATAGCTAGCTGCATACATACGTCTCCGACTCGTAGCTAGCTAGCTAGCTAGCTAGGCACCTAGATGGCTAGCTGGCTAGCTAGCTGGCCAGCTAGCTAGCTAGCTAGCTAGCTAGCTAGCTAGCATTCGTACATATTCAAAAAAGCAATATGGATGCCGCCATTAAGTCGTGGGGTGGTTGGTTCTAAGGCGCACGAAATAGAGGGTTTAGGGTTTAGGGTTTAGGGTTTAGGGTTTAGGGTTTAGGGTTTAGGGTTTTCGTTTGATTGAGGGTTTCTGAGGCCGCCATCTGAGCTGCTGTTGCTGCTGTTTGTACTTGTCTACCTCTGCACCATCTGCTGCAGTAACTGCTGCACAGTTAGGGTTTAGGGTTTAGGGTTTAGGGCTTAGGGTTTAGGGTTTTGTTCTTAGGGTTTAGGTGTACGTACACCTCAGCCGCTGCGGGCCCCGCAGGCTCAAATAGAAACAGAAAAGGAGAGACAAAGACAAAGACAGAGAGAAGGAGAGACAGAGAGACAGAGAGACAAAGAGACAGAAAGAGAGACAGAGAAACAGAGAGACAAAGAGAAAGAAAGAAAGAGAGACAGAGAGACAAAGAGAAAGAGAGAAAGAGAAACAGAGAGACAGAGAGAAAGAAAGAAAGAGAGACAGAGAGACAGAGAGGGAGACAGAGAGAAAGTGAGACAGAGAGACAAAGAGATAGAGAGACAGAGAGGGAGACAGGGAGAAACGGAGACAGAGAGGGAGACAGAGAGAAACGGAGACAGAGAGGGAGACAGAGAGAAACGGAGACAGAGAGGGAGACAGAGAGAAACGGAGACAGAGGGGAGAGAAAGAGAGAAACGGAGACAGAGAGGGAGACAGAGAGAAACGGAGACAGAGGGGAGAGAAAGAGAGAAACGGAGACAGAGGGGAGAGAAAGAGAGAAACAGAGACAGAGAGACAGAGACAGAGAGACAGAGACAGAGAGAAACAGAGACAGAGAGAAAGAGACAGAGACAGAGAGAAAGAGAAAGAGACAGAGACAGAGAGGAGGAGAGGCAAAGACAGTAAGACAAAGAGATAGAGAGACAGAGACAGAGACAGAGAGAGAGAGAGAGAGAAACAGAGACAGAGAGATAGAGAGATAGAGGGACAGAGG